CGCTGTGTCTCTCTCTGTTAAATAAATAAAATTTTTAAAATAAATACAATTTAAATTCAATTAATTAACATAATAGTGTATTATTAGTTTCAGAGGTAGAGTTCAGTGATTCATCAGTCTTATATAATACCCAATGCTCATTACATCATGTGCCCTCCTTATGGTGTCCGTCTCTTGGTCACAGCTCAGGTCTTTTTTTTTTTTTTTTAAAGATTTTATTTGAGAGAGAGAGAGCACAAGCAGGGAAAGTGGCAGGCAGAGGGAGAAGCAGGCTCCTGGCTGAGCAAGGAGCCCAAGGCTGGCCTCAATCCCAAGACCCTGAGATCATGACCTGAGCTGAAGGAGCCACTTAACCGAGACACCCAGGCTCCCCATCAGCTCAGGTCTTGATCAAGGTTGTGAGTAGTCTATTTAAAAATAAAATATATCCTGGACAGCAACTATGTTGCTTACAAGGATTAACCCCAAGATATCCATCATGGAGTACAAGGCTTTGAAACTGAAAACACAGTAACAGCCAGGGAAAAGGGCGGGGAGGGGGGGTACAAAATGTTAAGCAGTTAAATAGTTTCCACCACACACCCACCCCCGCCCCCCCCAGGACTCCAAAAATTAATTATTCATGTTTAATTATGCAACTTAAATTTACCTACATGCCTCCCTCTAGATCTGCACTGTCCAATCTGGTTGTCTCAGGCTATGTGGGACTGGCTATTGATAAGTCAAAGTTGGGATGTGTTAAAAACATACACCCTGGGTTTTAAAAATATGTAAAATCTTTTTTGATTTTATTATTTATTTTTAAAGATTTTATTTGACAGAGACAGACACAGCGAGAGAGGGAACACAAGCAGGGTGAGTGGGAGAGGGAGAAGCAGGCTTCCCGCTGAGCAGGGAACCCGATGTGGGGCTTGATCCCAGGACACCGGGATCATGACCCGAGCCGAAGGCAGACGCTTAACCAACTGAGCCTCAAAATTAACTGATTACCTGTTGAATTATTTTAGATATTGCAAAGTTAGTTTCATTTGTTTAAACTTGGCTACTACAGCGTTTTACTGCTTTAGATGAGTGCAGGATGGATCATATCACTCATTATGTATGGCCAGCACCTCAAATACTATGGAAAAACACAGCAGGCAGTTAATGGTAGTGCTTTCATTTCCACACTGCCTTTTAGAGATCGAGCCCCGCATGGGGCTGCTCCCTGCTCCGCAGGAAGCCTGCTTCTCCCTCTCCCACTCCCCCTGCTGTGTTCCCATTCTCTGTCCCTGTCAAATAAATAAAAAATCTTCATAAAAAAAATTTTTTTTTGGATTTTATTTACTTGAGACAGCGCGTGCGCGCCCATGTGAGCAGGGGGGAGGGGCAGAAGAGGGAGAAGCAGATTCCCTGCTGAGCAGGGAGCCTAACGCAGGGCTAGATCCCAAGACCCTGAGATCATGACCTGAGCAGAAGGCAGACACTTAACCAACTGAGCCACCCGGGTGCCCCAGCCCATGAAAATTTCTTTAAAAGATTTGACAGAGAAAGGCACAGCGAGAGAGGGAACACAAGCAGGAGTGGGAGAGGGAGAAGCAGGCTTCCCACTTAGTGGGAAGCCTGATGCGGGACTCGATCCCATCATGACCTGAGCCAAAGGCAGACGCTTAATGACTGAGCCACCCACGCACCCTGCCCATGAAAATTTCTAATGAAATTGATTTAAGATACAGCTAACCTGAAAAATTTGAATTGTGGGGACTCCAGAATGAAAAAAAAAGTGTCATTCCCCCAGAAACTTGACTTTGTCACTGAAGCATGATGAAGAGACATTTCTTCATAAAATTATTGGCTCTAGGAAAGCGTAAACATTTACCAAAATACTTAAAAAAAAAATCTTATAGTACAGCCACACATCGTTGATCACAAAACATGCCCAATAAGCAAGTTGGCCAGATTTAATGAACTCATTTTAAAAAGAAAGGTGTAACGGGCACCTGGGTTGCTCAGTTGGGTTTGTCTTCTGACTCTTGGTTTCTGCTGAGGTCATGATCTCATGCGCTGTGATACAGAGCCCCGTGTCAGGCACTGCACTCAGCAAGGGGTCTGCTTGTGAAGGATTCTCTCCCTCTGTCCCTCCAACTGTCTCTCTCAAAATAAATTTAAAAAATAAAGGTGTTAAGTTTTACCATTAAGTACACTTCCCTTGTATTGTGCTAATACAATGTGGAGTTGTAGGATTTTTCTAGGAAAAGGTGAATCATGAATTTTGTAGTAATAAAAGCAAATGAATTTTAAGTTCTGTAGTCCCTCCACCAAATTTATGCCCTATTTAACTTAGTGACAAAGTGATTTTCTAGTATTTTAGTACTTTGTGCTACTGAAGACTTCAAAGGATTTAATGAGCAAAGGGCATACCAAGAACTTGTAATAAGGCACTTTATTAAAATAAAAGTGCTTACATCCCTTTAATGTATTAATCTACTTCCTGAATAACATATGGAATAATGAACAAATACTGTACACCAATTCTGTTCCTTACAGTAGTAGGAAAACAGTATTATTATAGTAAGTTTGTTTACTCCTCCCAACTCCCTTTTACAGTTTTGCTCACCATGGTATTACCTAGAGCAGTTAACTGTTCTTAAAAAAAAAAAAAAAAAAGGAATTTCTACCTAGTGTTCTGTAATAGCAATTGCAAAATGCTACAAAAAACTATGAAACAAATTCAAATAAGAATTCCAGGTAACTTAAATTAACACCAGTGTTGAGAAAACCATTTTTATTGTCATCACCACCCAGCGTATTTGTGCTGGATTATGTACCAAATGGCCAGATCTTCTAAAGAACATCTACATAACATTTCTTTCATGTTTCAAGAGATGAAAATAACTGTACAAGGTTAAGTACAAAAGTACACAAGACAGCGGACACGAAATATCCATGTATGAGATTTTATCCCACCTGCAGCTTTTATATATTTGAAAAGTAGAATTCATGAACTAAAAAATATTGTCCTTCTATAGTCCTGTCAAGTTTAATGGAAGTGTGTTTAACCTGATTACAACACTAACACCAGTATCACTGATCTGATATTTACAAAAAATCGTATTTTTCAATAAATTAAAGTCAATGCAACACCCATGCAAGCGAGAATGCTAGCTGTTTGGTGAACAAGGACCTGACATCAGAACCAGAAGTCCATAAAGTCCCAAACATTAAAGTCTGATCTTTTTCAAACTGCATCCATTCCTCGCATTGATGATGTGAAACCCAATCCCATTCCTCTTTGTGTGTGGGTCTGTGATCTTGCCATTTCATACTGAGCATCTAAATTTCTAAATACTTCTTCCTGTTGCTTCAAAGTCTTGTAACTTTCTTCATCAACTGAGCTACATCCAGCTTCATCTTCACTCTAAATTTCAGATAAAAAATATATTATTAAAATAAATGGAAATGAGAATAGGCTCTTCTTCTCAACTGACAGTACTGATAAATCACATTTTTAGGATATGTATTTACCTTCCATTCATTCATTTAGCACCCATGGAGTGCAAGGCAATGTTCTTTCTAGCTATTGGGATAAACCAGGATATAACAAAAATCAACTTCATTTCAGTGGGTATGAGGAAGAAAATGTAGAACATACCATTCAATATGTAAGTAAAGTCTAGGAGAAAAGCAGAAAATGGGGATGGTGTGCTTGCTATTTTTGTCTTACTATTATTTTTTAAAAGACTATTTACTTGAGAGAGAGAGAGACTGAGACACAGCATGAGTGGGGAGGAAAGGGAGAAGCAGGCTCTCCACTGAGAAGGGAGCCCTACGCGGGGCTGTATCCCAGGACCCCGGGATCACGACCTGAGCTGAAGGCAGACACTTAAGTGACTGAGCCACCCAGGCTACCCGTGCTTGCTATTTTTAAAAAGGCAAATGAGAAAGAACTAAAAAGTTGACATTTGAGAGAGACCAAAGGAAGGAATGATGCTGGGAGCTAAGAAAAGAATTAGAGCAGGGAAAGGTAGCAGCAAATGCAAAGGTTGTCTGGCAATGTTCCAAAAAAGCCAGTTTAGTGAAGCTTAGTTTAAGCCAAATATCCCTTCAACGAAAAACCAACTCCCTTAAGTAATCAATACCTGAGCGTTTGTGAACTTTCTTCCGGGGTGTTATATGAAATTTAATATGAAATCTGTACATTTCCACTTTATTCAAACAAAACAAAACAACACACACACCAAGAAAAACAAAAAACAAAGCCACCAAAAAACCCTACATCTTTAAAAAAGCTTTCTGGAAACATTAAATATTAAGGTCCGACTCCAAGCACAGTCAGTTTTTGTTTTTTTTTTAAAGATTTATTTGTCAGAGAGAGAGAGCGCGCACGTGCGCATAAGCACAGGGAGCGGCAGGCAGAGGGAGAAGCAGGTTCCTTGCTGAGCCTGATGTGGGACTCGATCCCAGGACCTTGGGATCATGACCTGAGCTGGGCAGACACTTAACCAATTGAGCCGCCACCCAGGCATCCCTACAGTTAGCTTTAAATGAGCACTTTTTAGAAAGCAAATTCATTAATTCCCATTTACAATTTCATTTTTATTTACTAAGAAAAGCTTATGATCTAGAAAAAGGTTCATTTAAGGTATAAATAGGTTATAATCAACAACCACATTAATTTAAATTTAATAATCTGTATAGTCAGCTAATGATGACAACATAATTCTGTGAAATTAATCTGAAGCACAAAACAAAAAACCACCAGAAAGTACCCAGAGTTCATATATTACTGAAACTAACTTTTAGGGTGAGGACCAATGTTAACCTGAAAATGTTAATATATTTTAATTCAAAGTGTGTAACTCACCTTAATACCCATTAATTTCCTGAATTTGACATTTTGGTCCTTGTTTCCAAAATTTAATTTTTCCCATATTTCAGCAGACTGGGATTTGTCCTGTAAAGAAACACTGAACTTTTACAATTCATAAAATTTAGCTACGTCATAAGGTCTAAAAGAAATGATAACATTTATAGCATTGTGCCATGCAGTTTATAATTATTTTCAGTTTATGAAAAAGCCTAAGCCAAGGAGCATCTTCCCCCATTATAAATGTATGGGACTACTGTTTTTCTTTGAATCGCTACTGGTTTTCTTAGATCAATCTTTTTCCAACACTAAATTGTGGTAAATTAAAACAATCAAGTTTATAGGAAAAAAATAAGCACAAACCAATCTTTTTCAATCCAAGTTTGTTTTCCTAAGCAACTGCTAATTAGGAATAAATGACAGAAAAGGAGAATTAAAGAACTTACCCCTTCTTTCTTGCCTTGCCAAAGCATTTTCCTTTTTTTCTCTTGCTCAGCAAATTTCATTGGATTCACAGCTGCTGGGTTATAATAGCTAGGTACAGCTATTCCGGTCTCTGCCAAAGCTTTAGCCTGCAGGGCAGCCATTTGAGCTGCCATAGCTATCTGAGGAGTTACTTGCGTTCCTGATGCCAACAAGGCAGCAACATTGAGCACAGAACCTCCGGTGGCTGCAGCTGCTAAGACAGAAGAGAAGCATAGATTTAATTTAAGACTAACCAAAACCAACCTCCTGATTTACAGTACAGTAGTGCCTTTATATATAAGAACTAACCTAACAAAAAGGCAGAATACTTTTACCAAAATAAGGTTAGTTTATAAAGCAACTAACATTTTAGGAAAAATTTATTGAAAATATTTATAATAGACATTTCCGGATATGATCCCTTATATGTACTAATACTTTACATATCTAAAAATAGTAAGAATTCTACAAATAGTAAAAAGATTTGTGATTTCAAAGAAAATGAATTATGGTACTTGTATGTAGCTAAACTTGTAAAAATAAATACTATTTGTATGGTTAAGCTTACAAAATGATTCTTTAGAAATTCATTTGAAATTCTTTTTTTAAAATTTTTTTTTTTTAGATTTTATTTGAGAGAGACAGAGATAGTGAGATAGCACAAGTGGGGAGGAGAGGGAGAAGCAGGCTCCCCACAGAGCAGGGAGCCCCATGCGGGACTCGATCCCAGGACCCTGGGATCATGACCTGAGCCGAAGGCAGACGCTTAACCGACTGAGCCACCCAGGCGCCCCATTCATTTGAAATTCTTAACAAACATTTAAGATATTAAACAAGTATGATGCACATTTAACAAATCCAAAGCCCAAATCCTACAGAAGTTAAATGCCCTGCCTGGTATTTCCATTTTAAGTGATTCAGTCAGGAACGGAGTCAATTTTTTGTAAACAGAAAGACTGTTCTGATTAGTTATTTTTCTGTCATCCCAGAATATAAGCTTAGAAAGTTCTTTTAATTACTAATACTATGGGAATCCAGTTATGAAAGTTTTGTTGTAATCATGTATTAAAAGTAAAATGGTGGGGGTGCCTGGGTGGCTGAGGCGGTTGAGCTTCCAACTCTTGATTTCGGCTCAGGTCATGATCTCAGAGTTGTGAGATCAAGCCCTGCACTGGGCTCCAAGCTGGGAGTGGAACCTACTTAAGATTCTCTCCCCTCCTCTCCCTCTGCCTCACCCTCCCCGCCCCCCCATCTAAAATAAATAAATGAATAAAGGCAATTTGTACAATTTCTTAAAAGTTTTAAAAAATTTTAAGTAATCTACACCCAATCTAATCACAACCCTGAGATTGAGAGATGCATGCTCTACCAACTGAGTCTACCAGCCATACACAATTTGTACAATTTTAGATTATTTCAAGAAGTACCAATTTACTAGGAATGTCAAAAAAAAAACACCTTCCAGACTACATTTCATGTAATTCAATAAGCTCTCTCTGACCACCTTCAGTCATCCACAGGCAACGTTTGTGTTATGTCTAATAACCTGATTTCTTATCCCAGTTCAGTCATCATTTTAATAAACTTAATAAAATCATGACTAAAAGACATGTGCAGTGATGGCTGAAGTGTTATATGAAAAACAGTGACTGTCAAAATCAGGCCATCAACCAAGTAAGAAATACATATGCATGAAGAATTTATGAGGTATGGGGCGCCTGGGTGGCTCAGTCTTACACGACTGCCTTCAGCTCAGGTCATGATCCCGGAGTTCTGGGATCGAGCCCCGCATCGGGCTCCCTGCTTAGCGGGAAGCCTGCTTCTCCCTCTCACATTCCCCCTGCTTGTGTTCCCTCTCTCGCTGTGTCTCTGTCAAATAAATAAAATCTTAAAAAAAAAAAAAAATTTATGAGGTATGAAGGTTCACATTTCAATAACAACAACAGGTTTACAGTGCACTGACGGGTAGCAAGGATCATGGATTATTTTCTTCCTGTATTTTTCTGAGCTTTTCAGATTTTCTACAAAGAAATGCCATACTTCCATAGTAAAGAAAATAAATTACCTGCAGCTATTTCTTGCTGTTTTTGTTTTTCGACCATTTCCTTTTCTCGCTGTTCTTGTAATTTCTTTGCTCTTTCCAACCTGTGAAAGACAATTTCAATAAATTTAAAATAATGCTCAATATAAAACCCATATTTATCTTTGTATTTCTCCACATGTATAGAAACAAAACACTTAACATAAAATTTTAAATTAAAAAAGCATTCACTCTTAAGATAGTCACAGTCAAAGAATATTTCAATACTGGTTTTAAACATTTTTAAATTCATGGAATAGCCAAAAAACTGGAATAGCTTTTGCACACAGTTCCCACAGAGAATAGTTTTAAAAAATAAAAATTATTCAAACTTTATCAGTGCTGGTTATAGCAGTAAGGATAAAATTACATCTTGCAAATGACATATTGAGAACTGAGTGAGTCTTAGGGTATGTTAAAAGTAGTAAACAATGTTTACAGAATTACCTACATGCTTCTTGGGGGAAGGGGATATAGGATAAAGCCCATCAAAACATAACAATTACAACTTTCGTAAAAAGACTTTATCATAGCCTTAAATAAAAATTAAAAAGCCAAATGTAAAAAAAGGGGCAAATAAACCCTATTTGCTATTCTCTATAATCTAATAAAATGGGGGGAAATTATTAGGGAATTAACCTTTAGCAGCTTAAGAAATTTATCATTAGCAATGGAACTAGAAACATGAAACACAAATTCATCCTCAAACAAAATAGAGACTGTAATTCACACTAAATTTACTAACACATATACTAAATGTACTGTCAAGTCATTATCTACTTCTTATACAGCAAACTGTTAGTATCATCTTCATGAGTTCCTGAAAGAGAAACCTCTTTTCTTCAAGAGTCCTTGATTTCCCAATCATAAGTTAAAAGCCAACCCCTTCCTCCTTTAATGTGGTATAAAGGGGCAAAGATTAAGGAAAAGGTTTTTTGTTTTAAAGGGGTACTATGGGCAGGAAAATGGCATCGGCTTTAACAACTGCTGAATTTACATAAAATGAATAAAACAATATGATTTTATTCCCTTTTATTGAGCACACATGCAAGAAAGACACAGTACAGACTTGATTTTGTCCTTGGGAATAAGTTTCTGATTAGGGGTAACATTAAAATGTTGGTACACACACAAAAAAATAAAAAATAAAATAAAATAAAATGTTGGTACAGATATTAAAACTATTTTCAAAGCAGTTCAAAAACTGTCCTTATTTAATAACAAAAAAGGGGCGCCTGGGTGGCTCAGTTGGTTAAGCGACTGCCTTCGGCTCAGGTCATGATCCTGGAGTCCCGGGATCGAGTCCCGCATCGGGC